AACCTTCATTATGCTGCTTCTATTCTGTCTGTTGACTTCCTATACATCGCAGCCCCTCCCTTAGAAATACAACATATAGCTGGCTGTGTTCTAATTGGCTCATCCTATGTAGAATGAAATGTCATGCCTTGGGGGTTTATGTAGATTTTAGGGTTCAAGATTTCACAGACTCAGAAAGAATTTTTTTGTTGTCCCTACCAGCTGTTATTTGCAGGCCTTAGCATTGTCTTGAAATTAGTTTTTACAATGTTTATTTTGCTACCTCACACTGTTATTCATAAGGGAAATAATTAATCTGGGCAAATTAATCCACTGAAAAAATGTGTTTGTTGTAGTAATCTTCAGTGAAAGCCTGACCATTTGCTTCTGCTTTTGGAGTGGCGGTCCTTTAGTTGACATCAACCTGAGCGTTTTCATTGTAATTACATATTAATACTAGGGTTGGGTCGATAGACAATGCCATCGTCAATCGCCAATGACCGATAGACATCATGATGCTGAGCCGGCATCGTGATCCTCTGCCCCTGTCGCAGCAGCAACCACTCGCAGAAAATACACACTCAGGCCCCGTTTACATTAATGCATCTTAGTTTTAAAATGGCATTTTAGAACGAAAACGATCCACATCCACACTGACGTTTCATCCAGGATTTCTGAACAGCCTTCTTTCCACACGATACTGCTGAAAACGCACATTACGTGACCACACACACACATTCTGTCAAGCACTCCAGCATATGCGGACGAGTAGGCAGTCAGCGGGTGCTTTGAGCACAAAACCCCAGAGAGCAGTGCACGTCGGACAGTTTATCAAGGATTTACCGCTGGATCACGTCTCATTATAGTTGTTAAACATGATATTTAATTAATCTCGTCTCTATCTAACGACTCTTCAGTCTTTTGAATGTTTTGGGTAACGTGTCACAGGGTCAGTACACTGCTTCAGTCTTTCGCTTTCAAGCTTGTACTTAGTAATTTTAGCGAAAACCTCAGATATTACTGGGTGATTGCTGTTGGTTGTGCACCATTTTTACCAACCAAGTTTGTCGACGCCTTTATAAAGACACGGATAACTCTGCCTATTTATGCCAGAGTTCCATGGAAAAAGTGGTGGTAATTTGTGTGTAACTTATCTTTTTTTTATGATTTGGTTATGGGTAAAATAAAGACTAAGGTAGTTGAAATGGTAGGCTACAAATAATGAGTTCATTATGAATTAATTGATTATTCATAAATAATAATTTCACCGCTGTCTATGACGACGATGCCATCGTCCATTGCGATGTTTCACATTAGACATCGTACCATGGCAAATTGGTCGACATCGCCCAACCTTAATTAATACCCTCTCTAACCGTTAGTTTTCTAGAAGAGAATGATGCGCAAAATGGAAACCCTACCTCCTACTCAATATTCAGTTTTAGTTGTAAGTAAGGCAAGGCAAGTTTATTTATATAGCACATTTCATTCACAGTGGCAATTCAAAGTGCTTTACATAAACGAGAATAAAAGAAACAAGTAAAATAAAAATAAAAACAAATAATAAAAGTGCGTAAAAACAAAACATAAAAACAGGTAAAATGTGATATAAAAGAATGAAGAAGAAGAGAAAAACATGATAGTGCAATCTGTCGGACGCAGCACAGTGCTCATTCAGTAAAGGCACAGCTAAACACGTGTGTTTTCAGTCTTGATTTGAATGTGCCTAATGTTGGAGCACATCTGATCATTTCTGGAAGCTGATTCCAGCAGCGAGGGGCATAGTGGCTGAAAGCTGATTCACCCTGCTTTGACTGAACTCTTGGAACTTCTAGTTTATATGATCCTAAAGATCTGAGTGATCTGTTAGGTTTGTATTCAGTGAGCATATCTGTGATGTATTTAGGTCCTAGTCCATTTAGTGATTTATAGACCAGTAATAATACTTTAAAATCTATTCTGAATGTAACTGGTAGCCAGTGTAAAGACCTGAGGACAGGTGTGATGTGCTCGGATTTTCTGGTTCTGGTTAGAATTCTGGCTGCAGCGTTCTGGATGAGCTGTAACTGTCTGACTGTCTTTTTAGGAGGACCAGTGAGGAGTCCATTACAGTAATCCACCCTGCTGCTGATAAAAGCATGAACAAGTTTTTCTAAATCTTCACTAGAAACAAAGCATCTGATTCTTGCTATGTTTTTGAGATGATAGTATGCTGATTTACTGACTGCTTTGACATGACTGTTGAAACTCAGATCTGACTCCAGAGTCACACCAAGATTCTTGACCTTATTTTTTGTCGTTTGACCTTTAGTGCCAAGGTACATCAACATACAGAAATAAAAGTCTACGCAACTTCAATTTCATACAGAGTTTTAAGGGATAGTTTGCCCCAATATTAAAATTGTTACTTTCTCACCCTTCATTTTGAACTCTGGAAACCCCTAACCATTGACTTCCATAGTATTTCTATTTCAATTTAAAAAATGTATTCTGTAAAAAAAACTCAGAACTTTGAACTTGATAATGAAGGATCCCTTTAAATGAGGATGACTCTTGTCTCTGCAGCGTCCCTGAAAAACAAAGAGAGCAAGAAGAACAGGAAGAAGGAAGAGGAGCGGACGCCAGAAGAACAGGAGGAAATGGAAAGGCGGAAGGTGCGTTTCTCTAATCCACAAGTGTGTTTGTGGGTAATAATGTCATGATTAACTAAATGGAATGGGATGAATGTATAAACAACAAATTTTATGAAGTGAATATGAATTATTACCATTTGGAACATGGACATGACTTGGTTGTACATACAAGATTCCTCAAGATTCATACTTATTGAAAGGTCGAAGAGAAACCTATTTATAAGTTTTGTAAGAATATTTTGATGATAAAACATATTTTAATACAATGTATATTTGTAAATGGTATCAGATATTGTTTTTATTCATGAAATATTTGAAGAGAAATGTTTTAAAAGGTGTCTTCTGCAGGAATTGTACAATATAGGACAAATTGAAAGTCCTTATTTGACCTTTCTGCGTTTTTATTTTTATGTTTTGTTATGATAGCAAATCAAATATTGAATACTGAGTACAAGTGTGGTCATGAATATAGCCAGCGCTGCTGATATGGCATTAAAACATAAATAAATAGGTGTCCTGATTAACTCGTCCTGATCTCTAGGCTGAAATGGAGCTGCTGATGGATGACGATGAAGACGACAAACACAAACACTTTAACTATGACAAGATCGTTGAGCATCAGAACCTGAGCAAGAAGAAGAGGAAGAAACTGCTGAAGAGCAACACGCCTCTGGAGGAAGGAGACGACTTTAAGGTCAGAGTCCTGAAATACCACTGCTGTAGTGTATTTACAGATCCCATGAAGTGTATTAAATATGCATATGTTTATATATTGCGTGACATTTTTCAATCTAAAAGTGAAAACAGGGTGGAAGTGCAGAAAGTGATTCTTGTTTTAGTCGGCTTTCGTCCGTTTGATGTGTTCATGTGCAGCTTTTTGGTCCGGATGCGAGCCAATGCGAGGTGACAACGCAGTTGGGATTCATTGGTGCTAGCTGTTTGGCATTGACTTGATGTGTCCCGTCATTAACACTCCCCTAAAATAATTATTTCCGGGAGACTTCAGTAGTGTAGTTATCATCATAGTTAACTCCCATTTTTAATTGTTCCCCAGGTGGACGTTCAAGACCCACGTTTTCAGGCGATGTTCACGTCTCATCTGTACAACCTGGACCCGTCTGACCCAGCCTACAAGAAGACCAAAGCCACGCAGAGCATCTTAGAGGAGAAACAGCGGCGCCGAGAGGAGAAACACAGTCAGGAGGAGACGAGGAGGAGCAAACACACACAGGAGGAGGACAAAACACACACTCCATCAGCATCATCATCAACCATGGACCCCAGTTTATCACTGCTCATCAAGTCCGTCAAGAACAAAACCCAACAGTTTCAAGCACGCAAGAAGCAAAAGACAAAATAGACTGAGAACGAGAGATGCATCCATTGCTGTTTTATGTAGATGGTTGGACTTTCTTGTGATTAGAGACAAAATTGAAAGATAATTCATAACCAATGTCATATTTTCTCCTAGTGTACAATCATTAAAGCAGGTTTGCTTGATGGTCTGATGAGACATGCAGTTTTATTTAGTGTGTTTATGTCTTTAAACTAAAATGGTAGGTAGGAATGTTGAGAAGCCACGTCCACTTTTTTAAAAATTGGCCAATAGTATTTGGTTTATGCCACTTTGAGTTTGTCAAACCATTTCTTACACTAATGTCCTCTATTTTACTTTAAAATATAGACCATTTCAATGTGGTGATGTCCTTGGACCATGAACATTTCCTGCTTGTTATCAAACTATTTCATAATTGTAACAAGAGGAAATTCAATTAGAACTTAATGTTAAAACTGCTATCAAAACATTATTTATCAATATGTGGCTCTTTTTGGCTTCTCGGAAACTATAGAAATGAAAAAATGTAAAACAGGAAGTACATTGAGACCATTATTTTAGTTTACACCCCTCAAAATGGTCTATAGCATTCTTTGTAGAAATGCTATGGTCTTGTACAAACATGAAAGCAGACACTGCATGTTCATATTCACTGCACAAAAATATCTGATTTGTGTGTCTGTCTAAATGTGACATCATAAAATTGGCATTGTTTAAATTCGATTCCATACTGAGAATTTAGAACGTGGATTCCTTTTAATAAATCCATAATTGGTTTTCGAAAAATCTTCCATTCCAAATGAGAATTAAATTCAAATGTTTTGCTGCCAGTTTGAAGAAAGCAAAATAGATTTACTTGTGGAGCTGCGCTTCGGTGGATTTGCTCTTCAGTGTTTGAACTTTCAGCAGTGAAAACTAAACTGAACTTCAACTCTGTACAATGCTGATTGTGTCAAAGCACATAGTTCTAGTCACAAAGCGCTATATAAATAAACTTGAATTGAATTTCTTTCAGAAAGACATATTTAATGATGACAGGACGTCTAAAAAGCTGAAGTTAAAGGTTAGCTTTATTCATGGTCACACAAAAGCCACTCGCACATTCAAAATAAAGTCTTGGCACTTTCACAGGCACATCTTTTTTACCGTACAGAAGAAACAGGCCTCCTCACTTGTGCCGTATATTAAAATATAGCAAATGAATGAAAACCATACACGCGTACATTTCCTGTGGATACAACGAGAGCATGTTTAAAAAAAACAGTAAATTATGGCTAAGGAATATAAAGTGTACATGTACTGCTTGGGTAATTCACACCATTAAACCCAATCCAGAAAAGGCACGAATGACAGATTTGAAATACCAAAACAAAGATCACAAGGGTCAATGATTCTCAATTGAGCCACAGTGTTACAGAAAAAATAGTGCAATTAAGGTTTGAAATTGACACATTAGAAAGTGGAGTGTTTTGTGTAGTGGTTCAGCTTGTTTACCTCATAAATATGTCACTTTTACAGTTTATGACGAAAATTCAATACCTCTGGATGATTTCAAACCAGCTTAAGTCTATATTAAATATTAGGGATGCAACGATTAACCGGTTTCACTATTAACCGCTATTTAATTCGTCGTGGTTAATTAGTCGTAAAGGCTTTTCAACATTGTGTTTTTGCACAGAACAAATCTGCAGCAACTAAACAAAGTTATGCCAACTGTGCGCTAGTTTGTACACCGAGACTAATAACCACGCACACTGGACTAACTCTGACTGAGGCTATTAATTAAGGCAAGCTCACTCAAGTTCATTATTTCCAATAAAGGGATGCGCACACAACACGTTCAAGCTTTCAGGTGCACCTAGTTGAGATGACGGGGCTTTTGTGACCGCGGAAATTGCAAATGGCTGAAGTTTGAGGAAGAAGCAATGGAAAGTACACAGGGTTTGCAAACCCACTTACAAAAAATGACGCAGATGAGAGCGATCATGTGGCGAGTGTTGATCCACCAGCCGAGATCAATCGAGTACTTTCGATTTACTGCACACGCTCAATTAAGGTGACAATGCATTGATAATGACCAAAAACACATTGAATGACTGTAAAAAGCACTCAGTAAAAAGCAATTTTACCCAATAAATGCATCAATAATACACACAGATTTTTTTTAGTCAATTAAATAAACTTTTAAAATGGCAACAAATTTGTATTTAGGCTCGAACAACAAAACCAAATTTTAAATAATTTTAGTTATAAACTAGTGGAGTTTTGAAATCAATTAATGCAAATAATCGTGAGAACCGTGAAACCGAGATTATTTCTTAGACTATAATCATACAATCTAAATTTATAATCGTTGCATCGCTAATATATATATATATATATATATATATATATATATATATATATATATATATATATATATATATATACACACACACATATACTTATACACCACCATCTTTGACATTCTGTCTATAGAAATTAAACCTTACTTTAATGTCTATAGTTTTTTTAAATCCATTTTATGGCAAAATGTTAAGCTGGATTGTATACATCTCAGTACTTTCATAAAATCCTAAGTTTGAGCAATCATAATAGTGATATTTGTCCAGCACCACTAGTTAACTCTCTCCTAGTCTATTTTTTCTCTGTAAAACCCCTCATAACTTCACGCCTTGTACATTTATCGTGTTGCACCAAAATGTTATAAAATATAAGATTACACGACTATTAAGTAGAGAAAATACACTTTTAGTGAAACGCTTCAGGACAAATTGTGCTTCACATGTTGAGTAAAAAAACTATACAAATACTTTAGAGTTAAGTAAAATACAGTTTCAATACGGTACGACACACAAGGTAGAATAAATCAAGAGTGCGACTTCACAAAGTAGAGTTAGAGATATTAAAGCATGTTTTGCGCAAGAAACAGCATGGCTATTGTTAGTCTAAACTGGCGGTGACTTGTAAAAACCTGCTTTATGAAGATGTATGTGATGGTGAAGTGTAGCAGGGGTGTGCGATATTGAATATTATATCATCATTTTTGAACAAATAAACAATATTTTGTATAATCAATGTTGTAGATAACTAAACACGAGACTAAAACAGCCAGTAGATGGCAGGAAGTCTCTGTCTTAATGAGTGATTAGGATTAGGAGCCAATGAATAGACCAATGAATCCTCGACTCAAGTGATTCGTTCAAAAACAGATTCATTCAGAAACTGAACACTAAAGAAGAATGTTCTGTTTTGGCTTTGATTGAAGTTCTTGTTATCGGCAAAATGCAAAAAAAATAAATAAATTAAACCTAAATAATCTGTAACTCCTCGAAGATTAACTTCTTATTTGTTGAACTGTATTAAATTTATTATCCCATGTTAAAGGGTAATATTCAGAAAATGGCACTTATTCTAGTTGATACATCAGTATAGCATATATTGTAAATACACAAACCCACACAGGGTTATTCTTTTGCTTTCATAACTTGAATTAAAATCACATCTTACTTCATTCTAATAGGGTTAGGATGCTTTTTAACTCTCGAAATGTGATTTTGTTAAGTTTTATGAAAAGTGAATGACACACTTGCACATTGTGTCACAGACAAGTTTCGCACACCCCTAAAGTGTAGAAACGTTATTTTTAGCAGATACGCTCTTACTGAAGTCATTTTCAGAAATGCTCAGACACATCCAACTCAATAAGAGCATCACGATCTCGGTTCTTCACTAAATAAGTCATGAAAAAATGAAAATTCGGTCATTTCCTTAACTTCATGTTATAGAGTTGTGCTGCATGTACAGCACATGATCAAAAACACAGTAAAAGTTGTCATTTTTCTACTTGAATGCATTTTAAACTAATTTATCCTGTAACAAAAGCATGATTGCTCCAGTATTTAATGTCAGATGATACTTCAGAAATAAGCATTTATTTTTTTTTATTAAATTTTAAAAATAATTGTAGTGCTTTTTTCCACAGAATCCTTTACTGAAATGAGGAATAGTTCAACACATTTATGTATATTTACAATATAATAAAACATTAGAAATATTCTTAATGTCACTTTTAATCAACGTAATGCATCATTGATGAATAAAAAATAATAATAATTAGAATTTTTAAACTCGTATATTGTAGACCTTAAAGGGATAGTTCACCCAAAAAAAACATTTACTCACTATTTACACTAAAGTGGTAGAAAGAAGTAGGGTTGTTGTGATACCATTAATTTGTTACAATACTATACCAGCTGAAGTATTGTGATACCAAGTAGCATTGTGATACTGTAACTCATAACTCAAATCCATGAAATGAAGAAAATTGTCAGAAATACGATATTTATACTGAAACAGGCCTACTTGAATTGAATGAATGATTCCCTTATTATTGAAAAAAAAGTATTTGCACGCCACTTCACCTAAAATGTATTCATTCTTTTTGTTCATTTTGTAAATAGCTGACCAACAAAAAATACATTCAAATAAAAACACAAATTTTACCAAATGAAATTTGCATTAATAACAAAATGTGCATTTATCCAAGCAAATTAGGCTTTATGAAGTGTTCAAAAATTCTGTTTAAATGTTTCCAGTATCTACTGTCAGGTAAGTAATTCAAAATGTAACTTTGAGAGTCGCTCTTTTTACGAAATTGTTGCAGTTGTTGCTACTAAATCATATTGGCAGTAGCAGAAATGAACTGATTCAGATTCGATCTGAAGCATCAGAAAACGTGCAATAGGCTACCATAAAATGTGTCAATTCTACACACTTTGCACAGACTATTTAAATAAAATAGTCTATTGTTGCACAAACATGTGAGCATTTTAGTGACTTTTCCACATGCAACATTATGTATTGTAGATAGACCGTTATTGACGATGCTACGGTTTACAAACTACAGTGGCACCGCCAGTATTTTGGAGCCACGATACTGCCATAGTACCGGTAAACCGTGCAGCCCTAGAAAGAAGTAGGGCTGAGAGATATGCAAAAAATGAAATCTCAATAATTGTTTTCCACATTAAACAAAAACTATATATATTCAGATATCAGTTGTTAATGCTTCCAGATTTAAAAGAATATCCCAACAATGACTGAAGCCATAAAAATCAGAGGCTCCATTAAATGGCATAACATTTGACCAATACATCTCTAACATCAACACACTTTTAGATTCCCATTTTTGCACATTACTGCTGTCTGAATGGCTCTTAAATCAAAATAGAGTTAAAAAAAAAAAGTCCAGAGCTCATCATTGTTATTGACATACATTTTATCAGCATTCCATATAATATCGTTTATCGGCCTAGCTCTAGAAAGAAGATATTTTAAAGAATTTTGGAAACTGGTAACTGACGTCCATAGTAGGAAAAAGAAAGGCTATGGTTACATAGTATTTCATTCAATGCTTAAACAATTTTCAAAATATCTTTTGTGTTCAGCGGAAAAACGAAACTCGAAATTTTAGAAAATTTTGGGTGAACTATCCCTTTAATTAAAAAAAAGAAATAAAAAAAATAATAAAAAAACAACATTTTGGGTTAACTATATCTTTAATTTATTAAGTTAGATTTTTTTTCTGAAATTCGACTGACCTGCATGAATAAACTTAAAAAAATTAAAATCATCTTCAGGTTTATAACTAAATGAGGTTGAGTAAAATGACCAAATTTTCCTCTTTTCCTTTGCGCTTCTAACAATTCTAGCCAGGGTTGTCAAAAGTATCGAGTTCGATACCAATCGGTTCTAAAATTTTAGAAACATTTGCACTCGGTGAACAGTGATGAACCGATGATCTTCACAGCCAGTCACAGTCATTTATGTTGAGCATTTGAACACAGTGGCCGATCAGCCAATGTTTAAGTATGCACTCAAATCCTAGCAGGAAGTGGACATTTTTTAAATTTTTGCACCGAATTCGATACTTTTGACAACCCTACTTCTAACACAGTCTATATATAGATTGTCGGTAATCTCTACAATTCTTTTTGCAGCCTTTGTGCAAAATCAAAGCAGCACTTCATTAAGGAACAGAAACCTTTTTGTTTCTGAATAATCCTAAATAGGACTTTTGTTCTCTCTCAGGCGTAAAATATGAGTTCGGGGATCTGGCCACCCTGCACACCCGTCCCGTTGGTGCTGTCGGACGAACACTGGAACTGGAAGGTCACCTTACCACACTGCACCTCCGTCATGCCCTCCTGCCCAAAATAACTCAACTCGTTGCCGTCCAAAATGACGCTGGCAGTGTAGAAAGTGTCCGGCTCGATCTGCACCGGATACTCGAAGAACACAGAGAAGGTGTTGCTAGAGCCGTCGGAGAAATATTTGATGATGGCGATGCCGAGCGTGACTCCCTGCCGCTTCAATTCAATCTTGGCCTGGTACTCCGCTGAACCGCAGCTAGAGCCATACAAACCAAATCCAGCAATAAACACACGTTTGTCCACGGCGAACTGAATGCTATCGCAGCGCCCACGGTAGCGCCACTGATTGCTACGATAAGCGCACGATTGAAAACGATGGCACTTTTGCGGCGTTAAACCTTTTCGCGGTTTGCACACAAACTTCAGCTCTGGTTTTTTGGCTGCTGTGTACCATAAGAAAATATCGTTTGTTTCGTTGAGCGTTAGCACTCCTGACTGAGCGACGCCATTAGCAAAATCATCAAGCGCCATCGCAGGGATTCGTATTAGATAAATAGACTTTCCCAAAACAAGTCGCTTGTTTTCGATTGTGGGTTGGAGTTCCTGTCGGTGACATTCGGCTTCAGCCCAGCTCAACGTCGCTTCGAAAACCACCATCTCTTTAGCGTTGAGCGTTTCACGCCGTAGGATGCTTTCTAACGTTTGAGTGTCAATGTCGCAGAATCCTTCAGAGCGGAGCGCAAGTTCAGCCTGCGCGTCAATCACCTCCCAGCATCGCTGCGTCAGGTCAGGCTCCTCGAACAGGCAGCTCTGGGACAGCAGAACGCAGGCGTTTCTGGCGCTCAGGCTGGTCTCTAGGAAGTTGACGCAAGCACGGGCTAAATGGGGGACGATGTACTTTTTGGCGGCGTACAGTGTGGCCAGTACAGTGTCTGCGCAGAGGTCGATCTCATCACAGTAGATGTACCTGAAAATAGAGGAAAAATATTAAATTTATGAATATATACGGTTGAATGCTGCTATATTTGAAGCTTCTGTAAACTAAATTGATGTTAATTTGAGATGAACTGGAGGACGTATTAAATTTAAAATGTGTTTGTCATTTTATTAGAAAATTAAAATGAATTGTTTTGTATTAATTATTTTTATTTATTACAACAAAACTTTTCTTTTAGTAATAAAAAGGAGTTTGGGTTATAAAAAGGTATGGTATCAGATATACCAATAATAGAAATATTCATTGATTTAAGTATTAAAACGAGTTTGTTTACTTTATTAAAAACATTTTTTGTTTTATTTTTAAGTGAAATTTTGAAAATATTTCTGAGACAATTTTTTGTTTTATTTCAATTAAGAAAAATATTTACGTCCAATTAGCTGATTAACACCGGTTAGGTTTTTATATACCATGGTTTACGCTACATTCTTCCATGGTGGGGCGCCATGCCAAAATTCATCCCGCCACGCCTACATTACAGCTTCTCATTCAAAACATTTTATCTTTTTAATAGCTGGTAAAAAATCACATCGAAACGTATTAAAAGGTAAGTGAATTATAACAGCGCAAACTGTTCTGTAACCGTAGTAGTGCTGTGAGTCATTTGTTTAAGCATTTAAGGTGACATACTGACTGACTGACAGGTGCATGATGAGTGAGGCCAGCAAACACGACGTATACCCGTTTCACTTTACTTCAGGACGCATTAATATCGCTCTGTAGGTCTATTAGAGACATTCATAAATATTCCTAGCAAATCTAATAAATACTGGAGACATAAACGCACTAATTTGCACTTCAGCATTTGTTTATTTGTTCATTTAGCGTTTATTTGAGAGCGCACAAGATCTGCACACTCTTGAAGCGGCTTAAATTTGAGGGGCGTGCAAGAAGTTCTGTGCACGAGCAGAGGAAATCGGCACGCAAGCAAATAGATCCACATGTTGTAGGCTAATACATACATGCGATCTCGACTTCTTATACTGCACTCATGACATTTGTCATAGAAATTACGCCACAGGTAGTTAGTAGATCTGTGTAAAAAAAAAAGGCCTGAGCCACAGCTGGAAAAAAATCCTAGAGGAAACATTTTATACATTTAATTTAACTAGTTAACATTAATTAAAAAAAAAAGACAGACAGACAGACAGATAGATAGATAGACTGATGGATTTGTGCTTTTTAATTCATGTTTATTAGTGTCTATGTAATCATACTTCAGCATGGCCAGGAATGAGGGTGGCTCCACATCAGGGATCCGGATCTCATCTTTATCTTCAGCCAGTTCTCCATAAAACATGGCATGAAAAACTGAGCTACCCACAGCCAGGACATACTAACAGAGCGGAAGAAAACAAGAGATTACAAGCATCAATCGTTTACTGTTATATTCATTTATGCGTTTAGAGAGAATCTTATGAAGTACAAAATACATTTCAGTTACACGGCACTTACATTATTGTTTTTGCATTTAATTTTATTTATTTATTCACACACACACACACACACACACACACACACACACACACACACACACACACACACACACACACACACACTTGAAGTCAGAATTATTCACCCCCTTTGAATTTATTTATTTATATTTTATATGTCCTAAATGATGTTTAACAGAGCAAAGAAATTTTCACAGTAAGTCTGATAATTATTTTTTCTTCTGGAGAAAGTCTTATTTGTTTTATTTCGGCTAGAATAAAGTTAATTTTTTTAAAAACCCATTTTAAGGTCAAAATTTTTAGCCCCTTTAAACTATATATTTTTCGATAGTCTGCAGAATAAACCATCGTTATACAATAACTTGCCTAATTACCTTAACTGCCCAGTTAATTACCCTAATTAAGCCTTTAAATGTCAATTTAAGCTGTATAGAAGTGTCTTGAAAAATATCTAGTTAGATATTATTTACTGTCATCATTTCAAAGATAAAATAAATCAGTTATTGGAGATGAGTTAATAAAACTATTATGATTAGAAATGTGCTGAAGAAATCTTCCCTCCATTAAACAGAAATTGGGAAAAAAAATAATAAACAGGGGGCTAATAAATCTGACTTCAACTGTGTGTGTATGTTTATATTACATATATATATTAACAGTATTTATTACGGTTTATCAGTTCACAATAGTTAATATTACAGTATGCACTTTACTATAGCATGGCTTAAAAAACACTACAGTATTTACTATAAATTACGATAGTATTTTTTTTTTTAAATATGGGATGACTCAAAGCTGGTCATTTTTTACCTTGTGTCCCGGCACTCTCTGGGTTCCTCCCGGAGGTCCCACCACAAAATGAATATCGGCCATCAGCTCGTTGTTGAACATGACTGAGTTTCTAAAAAACAAATAAATGAAATGAAAACACTCTGGAACAGTCTCGCTCTGAACATCAGGATTTCTCCTTCATTGGATGCTTTTAAATCGAACTTAAAGACTTATTCTTACTCTCTTGCCTTTGAGTGACGCATGCATGTTATATTTTATTTGTATTTTAGTATTACTTTTATAAATATCCATTTCCTTGTATTTTTAATATCAGTTTTTGTTTTTATTGTCTAGTTTATTTTATTGTAAAGCACTTTGGATCAACTACGGTTGTGTAAAATTGTGCTCTATAAATAAAGTTTGCCTTGCCACTATTTTGAAGCAACACCTGCAATGCTATCGAAGCATAAACTCATATATATTTTTAACATTTTTATCTAATGCCATGTCAGCAACAACGGCTATTTTAATGGCAAAAACTGTTCATTAAAAATAAAGACAATTTACAAACAAATACAACAATTTGTCGATTTCGTTGTTATTATTTATCCTTTTCTTTTGTATTGTATAAGGTGGTTGAATGCCGGCTGTAGCTAACCAGGGTATTAGTAAATGTTTTTCTTTTTGGCAAGGAAATCTTGTCTGGCGCCTAAAGTTTAATTAAAAATATTGATAACTAATTTTTTTTTTGTTTGAGGTCTGCTGGGAGTGAGATTAAGGGCCGTGAAAATCTGAAACTTCTTAGTGATCACGTGGACTAGCGGTTGAGCGTTGGACCGTGGTGCAGAGAGTGGGCCCGAGTTCGAATCCCACTAAAACTGGTTTTTGAAATTTGAAATTTATTTTTCTTCATTCAAATTATATTTAAACTGAATTATTATTACCAGCCACCGTTACAGCCTTTACTGAATCTTTTTGTTTTGGACATACAGAAAGCGACTCATGTCCATCTGCTGCAAAAATATTATAAACATTCAGAACATCACACAGTGTCTGCAGAAGCTGTGTTTGGAGGAGGCAAGCAGACATTATCACTGTGTTTGCCCTGGCTCAGTCCCGCTTGTCACCAAAGTACGAAAAGTGACACAAACACACACACGAACGAACGAACGGTTATGAAATGATAGTTTGTTGTACAGTTTGGCAGTACACTTGCATTATTTGGAATGATTGCATTCACATCAGAAGTGAACCGTACCAGAGTTCACATGGACTGTACCCCAGACCACCTTATTCAGGTGGACTCAGGTACAGTTTACAGGTGCGCACACGAGTTCAGAAGACACGTTCACACTAGCGAAACGTACCGCACTATGACGTCAAACGAACCCGGGTGCAGACCAAAAGTGCTAGTGTGAAAGCACCCTTAAATTCAAATGTAGTACCAACAGAGTACTAGACAATTTCGCACACAGCCTAAGATTTATTTTTATGTTTTGCATAAAGGGTGAATCACCTTTCTCTGATTGTGGGATACAAGCCTTGCCAGTTACATCCCTGAATGGTGTTGTTGTTGCTGACGTTCTGCTGCTGGAACTGCTGGACGGCGCTGGCACTGACGGTGGGCAGTTTTTTGGTAGGGAACAGCTCAGCAGCCATTTTACCAACACATGTCAAGTCATAAGGAGGATTTCATGGCAGGGGATCTGGCAACCTGGACAAATGGGTGGTAAAAAAAGATATCAATCAATTTAGGTACTCTGAATGACTAAAAAAAAAATGGGAAAAGTTTGAATACTTGCTATTGTACATTTACATTTATTTAAAGGGACAGTTCATCCAAAATTTAAAATTCCATCATTTACTCACCCCGTACTTGTTTCAAACCTTTATGGGTTTCTTTCTTCTGTTGAACACAAAATAAGATATTTTGAAAAATGCTGAAAACCTGTAACCATTGACTTACATAGTATATGTTGTCCTACTATGGAAGTCAATAGTCAGCCGTCTTCAAAATATCTGCTTTGGTGTTCAACAGAATACAGTGACTAATAAAGGTTTGCAAGCACTCGAGAAAGAGTAAATAGTGAGTAAACCATCATATTTGGGTGAACTATCGCTTTGATAGCATGGATTAATATTACAATAACGTCTGTGTTTCATGTCATCACTAGCATACACTAAACCCTTTAAGTTTTATTATAATATATGAGTTCAATATATTATCATTTTTAACTTAAGCTATATTGAACATGTACTAAATGAAGCAGTTCACATTAGAAACCAAGTGAACTCGGATTCACTTTAGGACTTAACGTTACATATAAACAGAGTTAGCAATCTCAGCTAACCAAAAGGAGCTATCCTCATTTACATACACAAAGAACAGCAACAATTGCTTATAAATGAATACTAAATCTATAAACGAATGCAATAAGGTAGATATGGTATATAATGTGGTATACGAGCTTACGGATGGAGTTCAGATTCGGATGCAAGCAACAGGAAATAAACAAAAACAGCCAACGGGCTCACAAACCTCAATGGAAAAGGCTAAGTAAAACATCGCACTAAAATACAATCGTGACACGCCAGCGCTAAACAATTAATAACAGTTAGAGGTAATTACCGGAGGTTGATTAATGCAGCGGGTTTAGTGTTTGAGTGAGGAAAGTTTGCAGCTGGTTTGCACATCAACATCCTCCATGATCGGAGGATCCGCCTGACCGACTGCGCATGCGCCGTACTAAAGGAGACATTCGCAAATAAATGATTAAAAATAAATAGATAATAAATATGAAATGTATTTTTAAAAGTGCGTTGTTATTAGCATTGCTATTATTAGGAGTATTAGAAAAAAGAATGATATTCGTTTTGAAGGATGTACTATTTAGTTGTTTATTCTTTTACTTACACATTTAATTAAATAAATATGTGAACTTATTTTGCCAGTTTAAGAATTATTTACAAAATATTTCTAATGCTAATATCTAGTACTTATATTTAAAGCCTCAAACGTATATTAAGTGCAAATACTTGTCAAATAATAATACGGCGATTTTTACAAATTAAAACTGCCTGAAAAATAGTGAGCAAACTAAACAGTTGATCTAAAGCCAAGCAAAAAATAAGCAATATAATAATATATATTTTAAAAATAGTTTTTTTTTCTCGACGCTGACAGAGCGAATAAACACCACCAGCAGGTGGCACTTGAAGCAAGGTATTGGATTACAGTTTTTTTCAATCGCTTTGGCGCATTTCTGCACAACAGGTAATGCTTTTCTCAAAACAATTAGTACAAAGTGCAAAATCTAGTTAATAACCTGCAAAAGCGCGTCACATGCACAAATAGATAGCTCATTCCTCAAAAGCAAGTATTGATGTCAATGAAAGTGTCAGTGTCATCAAGATGAAAAGTCCTGACACCATTGTTTATGAACACGATAGTCAAAAGGCTCAGTCATGTTTTCATTATGTCAGTTTACTCTGTTCAATTTTTCCAATGCGAAAAAAGTCAGATTTTGGTGAAACTTCCTGAAAATGCTCAAGACAGCACTATAGACTATTTGCACAGCCATTTGAAAACAACAGTAAAGTGAGACATCTCTGCATTTAGTGAGGTATCTGAGTACAAGACACTGAATTTGTATGCTTCATATTTTTACTGCATTTGCTCTTTGCAATTCTAATATATTCACAGCATTGTGCAAAAGAATACACACCCTTATTTACAACAAACATAAACTTCCTTTGGGTAGAGCTGTGCACAACTGTACACAATATTGCAGTACATATTGGAACTGAACCTACAACACACACAGGTCTGTAAATCAGTCATCAAATTGTTCAATTTAGAAGACATTTCCAGAGAAAAAAAGATGAAACTTTTTTTTTTAATTGCTTGACAGATTTTGACAACTAGTTCAACATTTTTGCATGTAATGACTCAAGTAATGAAATGAGGACTATTAGTTTTATATGGAGTGACTATTCAGCATTCACAAGTTTAGTTCATTTTGACTGACATGACATGAGCCAATGATAATGTTATAAACAGCAGAGAGTTGTATCAGAGCAATTGATGCATGTCCAAAAGCATCTGCAATTTGTTGAAAGAAGTGAGAAACTGCTCTTATGATGTCCACAAATGACTGATTGTTTTGAGAAATGCAGAAACTGTTGTGCAAATGTAAATAGCGTAGTGAGAAATGCACCAAAGCCACTGAGAAAATCTGTTAGCAACCTAATAATCGTCATAATTATGCATTGACTTGTAGTTTTGCATTTCTCCAGTCAAATGGTTCGAGCCTCTGCTACGTCAGTTGGCATTTCTGTGTGGAGTTTGCATGTTTTCCCCGCGTTTGCATGGGTTTCCTCCGGGTGCTCTGGTTTCCCCCACAAGTCCAAAGAAGGGGTATAGGTGAATAAGGTATGCTAAAATTGTCTGTAGTGTATGTGTGTGAATGAGAGTGTGAGTGTTTCCCAGTGATGGGTTGCAGCTGGAAGGGCATTCCCTGCATAAAACGTGTGCTGGATGAGTTGGCGGTTCATTCCGCTGTGGCGACCCCTGATTAATAAAGAGACCAAGCCAAAATGAAAATGAATGAATTAATTATCCACATAGTATGTTTACTTAATAATTATAAGTCAATGAGATTGATCTTGCTTTTTTTAAAGTAAAGTCAACCTATCGCAATTAGTGCATCGTTCCTGCAATTGACGATAAACGAAAACACATGAAGAGTTTTCATCCATGCATCTTCAACCTCAAACATGCAGGTCAAAGTGTGCGAAATTCACAGCCTACAAAGAATTAGTGATAAAATAACACAAATCTGGTGGCATGGCTGGAATCCCACGGCCAGCAAACCTCTGACTGAACATTGACCCTGAAAGCAGCTTGACTGCAGCTTAACAGCAAAAACAGCAGCAGGAATGCACCGCTGCACGGATGCTTTACGTAATCATTAACTAATTACACTATAGAGCGGGGGATGGCGGGTAACGGGCCTCGGTTAGACACCGGCAGGCACCGACATAATGGAGGCCTCCATAAAACTAGCAGCACTTTTATTGTCTGGCCCATTGATTTGTATCTCTCAGGCCATTTAAAGGCCATTTCGAGGTTTTTAATCCCAGGAAATGACCATTGTTTGCCCGTCCACTGTATAGTTATGGTAAAAAATGGTGCTCGTGTGGAGTCTGTCCTGTGTTTTGTTCTGAATTCAGGGAGCAATTCAAAGCTGAAGAAAAACACTTTAGTTTTTCATAAAGTTTGATCAAATATGTATTATTGTGAGTGTTTATACAGTACGCTGTAAAAAAATAATCGTAAAAAAAAGGTCAAATGACTAACAAAAACCTTAAAATTACGATAAAATTTCTTTGTTGAAATAAAGTGCAAAAATAAATAAATCTACAGATATTTTCTTTAAAATGTTTACAGAAAAACACTGTTATTTTACAGACTTTTCCTAGATTATTACGATCAAATCCGTTCAATAAATAAAATATCTGTAGATTTATTATTTTTTGCACTTTATATCAACAAAGAAATTTTACCGTAATTTTATTATTTTATTATTTTATTTATAGCCGTAGCTGCCAGTCATTTAACCTTTTTAAAGTTTTTTTTTACAGAGCCAGTAATTACAATTTATTACTTTAATTTTACGTAATTTTAAATGTACTTAAAAAAATAGGAAACAACACTGTAAATAGCGCCAATTGTTTTGTATAAAACAGGAAAATTGCTGTAATTTGTCATTAATTATATAGTACATAAAATAACTGTCAAGCTGTTAATTTACAGATATTGTTTGAATTTTTTACAGACTTTTAAATATATTTTAAAATAGCAGAAAAATACTGTATAAATAATACTGTAATTTTTCTGTATAAAAAACTAAAATGTCAGTAATTTGTCTTTAATGATAAAGTACCTAAAATGAAAGTCAAACTGTTAATTTAGAGAGATTGTTTGTCATTTTTACTAGTTTTTAATATAATTTGAAATGACAAAAAAATACTGTAAAAAATTTAGAGATTTTTTTTGTTGTAAAATTAGTTTTTTTTTACAGTGTATATATATATATATATATATATATATATATATATATATATATATATATATATATATATATATATATACGGTAGGTACGGAAAACATTTAGACCCCCTTAAATATTTCACTCATTGCAGCCATTTGCTAAAATCATTTAAGTAAATTTTTTTCCACATTAATGCTCCCCATATTGACAGAAAAACACAGAATTTTTGACATTTTTGTTGATTTATTAAAAAAGAAAACTGAAATATCACATGGTCGTAAGTATTCAGACCCTTCACTCATTATTCACTCATTATTTAGTAGAGGCGGTCTTTTGATCTAATACAGCCATGAGTATTTTTGGGAAAGATGCAACAAGTTTTTCCCACGTAAATCTGGGGATCATCTCCAGTTCTGTCAAGTTGGATGGTAAATGTTGGTGGACCACCATTCTTAGATCTCTCCAGAAATGCTCAATTGGGTTTAAGTCGGGGCTCTGGCTGGGCCATTCAAATGAAAAATTTAAGAGGGTCTGAATGCTTTCGGGTGAGACCGTGGCTTGGTGGTTAGCGCTGTCGCCCCACAGCAAGAAGGTTGCTGGTTTGATTCCCGGCTGGGTCAGTTGGCATTTTCTGTGTGGAGTTTGCATGTTCTCTTGTGTTGGTGTGGGTTTCTTTCGAGTGCTTTGGTTTCTTTCACAGTCCACACACATGCACTATTGGTGAATTGAATAAACTAAATTGGCCGTAGTGGATGAGTGTGTGTGAGAGTGTATGGGTGGTTCCCAGTACTGGGTTTGGGCTGGAAGGGAATCCGCTGCGTAAAACATATGCCGGAATAGTTGGCAATTTATTTTGATCAGTTTGCCAGCAATTTACTGTAACTTACAGCAAATATACTGTGTTAACAATATACTGTTCATCTTGCTGTCAGTGTATTTACAGTATTGCGTATCTTTACTGTAAAATATACAGTATTTTTTGTCTTTTCACCTGTATTATAATTCCAAATGATAAAAAAACTACTACTACTACTAAACTACTAATTCATTGTCCATTTACTTATTTACGGTAAAATAGCCCAAATGGTGAGCTACTGTATTTTCTATAATTGGCTCACGCTCATATATATATATTTTTACTGTATTTTGATTCACAGCAAATTAAAAACACTCTTTCAATGGCACTAAAATGATATTTCTCAACACCGATGTAACAATATTCCTGCTCATACAGTAAAAACACAATGTACAGTAAATTTAAAAGCTGTGTAATCATCAAAAATCTTTAACAGTGCTGTAAAAAACAATTAGTTGACTTTGACTTTACTTAAAAAGTAACTTTACTCCCTTTTTTCCTAGGTGAAGTAAATAATCGCGTTTGCAGTGCAGCAAAAATGGGGAAGAAATAGTCATGTAGTCAGACGATTTGAAGTTTTCCACTAATATTTGATCATTAACTCTTGTGTGCTGTTGGGGATGTTTCCACTCTGCGGTGATTT